ACCACAAGCAGAACTGTGACATCAGTGCAGCCTCTGAGGGCATTAATGCTGCTTGTGCCATTCCACAAAATAGCCTCCACTTGAAATAGCCTCTTGTGTCAAGGCAGCAGCTGGCTTGATGCCCCTTTCAGCAAACAGAAACTCCTGTGAACCTTCAGCAGCAGGACCTCAGGCCCCACAGTTGTGCTACAGGAAACCTTGTTGCTGCTCCACACCGTGCTTTGCAAACATCAAGCGCGGCACAACTGCCTTGGAGCAGAAATCTTCCCTAATTAAAAGAGATTCCTAAGAGAATGCACAGATTTACTGCATAACTCAGAGGAATTGACTCTTCAGTTACCGTGTCTTTAGAAAACCTGTGAAAGAAAGGGACCTAAATGCAAAGAAGAACTCAATCTTGTTGGGAATATCAAGGCAGCCCTTTTCTCTCCCATTGTTTTTGTTGCTTTTTTTTTTGTTTTTTTGTTTGTTCGTTTGTTTGTTTTCCCCCACAGAAATGTTGGGAATGAGCAGAATTGGAATTGCTGCCTGCCATTTGAGCCCTGTTTCCTCAAGCACAAGGAAGATGCTGCGCAACAGCAACAACTTCTGCTTGGTCAGTGCTTAAGTCAAGGCAACAGCAGTGGGGGGTGGAGCCCCGCTGAACTGCAGGTCCCTCAACCCAAGCCCAGCTCAGCATTCTGGGTCCATGCTCAGTTAGGAAGCTTCACTCCATGATCAAAAGCAGCAGAAGAGCAGCAAGGGGACAGGAGGCAGTTTACTTGCTAAAGCCTGCACTAGGAAGCTGTGTCCATTCCAGTGAAGCCACCCAGGACTTGACTCATCCCAGTGACTTAGTGCATGCTGACACATGACCAGTTCCACAGCAGTCAAAAGGATGCTCCAATTGTGACATGCTGGCAAAAGACATGCCTCAAACCCAGTGCCAAAACGGCATCCTTTTGTGTAAAGAGTCTACAAGTGGCTCGATTACAAGCAGGAAGAGGATGAGCAGATCAGTTCACATGATACAGTTCAACCACAGGCATGTGGGACCAAAGTCCCAACACACGATATTAACATTACTGAACACAACCCTCCTCTTTAACTGCTGTTCACACATATGGCATAGACCTCATTTTCCAAACAGTGCTAAGTCAGTTGCAGGACCAAGGAGAAATTGGAAAGGAAAAAAAAAAGGCAGAAAAGGAGTAAGGCATTCTCCAATGTGGATATTTTTGCTGTAGAGCACCTAGCAACCTAGAAATGCTAAGAAAGCTACAGAAACGCCTCTGGAAAGATCTAACCTGAGTGTGTGAAAGCCAGCATGCAGCCATTTTATGCAGCAGAGGAGTTGTTCTAGTTAAGTTCTGTTTCAGAATTGATTCCCGACCAAATTGCTAATCATCCATCACAGCAGACAAGCCAACTCCAGGTGCCTAGGGTTTACATATCTGTATATCGTAGGATGGCAGCAGCAGCCTTTGTGCTATTAGACAACACAGGCACATCCAATGACCACGAAGCCCTTCTCTGGAGCAGCCCTGGCAAACAGGCTCCTTCACTCCCAACAGGTAGAACTGCTTTACAGCATGTCAGTGCCCAGCCATGCAAATCACCATAGGCCAGCTCCTCTACATAATTAATCTTTTCCCAGCCACCCAGTGGGGCACTGGCAGGTGGCCATGGGAACAAGGACAGTGACTCCACTGTGGGAAGGAGCGTGTGGCTCCAGCTCTCACCTCTCAGCCCTACCTCTGCTTGTACTTTTTGACTCCAGTGCAATTACTTTTGCCTACAAGGGGAACTCTGCACTATATAGCTTCAAATTTCTGGGCTGCTGGATATCCTAATGTATGTAGCTCTTTCTAGTTAGTATTTCTCCAGTATACATTGCCACAGGATTACCATCACACTGGAAGGGATAAAGCTTACTGCCAGGCAACAGCTTTGCTGCAAAAGCTCTTTGTAACACACCTGTCTATTCAAGGCTGTGCTGCGGAGAAACTAGACTAGCAGCATCCTTAGCAAATGCCAATAGTCCTACGCCAACTTACAACACTCCTGATGGCACAGCAAAGCTGCCGAGCTCCTTAAAGACAGGCAGGCCATTTACCTCCATAGCAAGTGTCAAAAATTGAGTACATGCACTGTTTTTATTTGGCAGTGTCCCAGTTCTGGAGCTCCACCAAGGAGAAAAAAAGAACTAGAACCAGGCAGCCCGCACATGTGCCTTTTCTCACAGGAGAAAACCTGTTTTCCTTCACTTTCCTCCCCTGTATTTACCCTGGATGAGCCCCAAGCTGCCTGGCATTCCTGGTTCTGCTGCGTTTGAGGGGTCTTGGGTACAGAGACAAGACCCCACTTGCATGCTCTGGTCCCCATCCATCTTAACAGGCTTGAGTTTTATTCCCTTTTTCTGCTATCACCCACAGAGCAGTCCCTTTTGCAGAACTGCCCACAGTCATGCCTCATCTGTCTTCCAGGATATCAGCTGGTTCTGAATCTGTCAGCGTGCAAGCAATGATTTCAGCAATTTCCAGCACGCAGTTCCTGGTGCTTCACTTATCACCCTGTCAATGTGCAAGTCAGCCATTAACTACCTCAGTCCTCATAATCAGAGGAGCTTTCAGCAGAGCAAACAGCCGAGCAACAAACAGGCTCTGCCACAGCTGACTGCTCATCCAGAACTGCCAGCCTCACGTCTCGTGTTATTTTTCTGCCTTGCCAAGAAACAGTCTCTTCCATATGTAAGGACTCCAGACCCCACGGTGTTACCACTACACTCACAGACAAATGAAGTCAGGGAGCTAGGAGAAGGAGGTGCAGATGTGGTGCATCTGTGTTAGAAAGGTGAAGTTTAGGCAGTTAATTCTGATGCACACTGATTTTTTTTCACACAGAGAAAGAAGGGAATAACTAAGGCTGCAGTCCCCACTTGCTGCACAGGCCCAAGGGGAAGCACTGCTGCCTCCCTCCATCTCTCCAAGGCATTCAGTCACAGTTTGAGTGCTGTTGGACCAGGTGAGCAGGGAACCAATGTCACTTCCCGCTCACCAGCAAGTAGGAGATAAGGGAGAAAGTGGCCACCATATGCCTCAGGCACCATTCAAGCAGACAAATACTGACTACCTGATACGGCATGGGGCATGGTCCACCTTACAATATTGCTTTGGACTTCCTGTAACGGATCCTGACCTATTAGTGCTCAAGGTCCATGCTGCAGTAGCTCCCTTTACCTCTGCTGAATGCTTCCTGCTGTGGTACTCCCAACAAAAAACACAGCTACTACTTGGGATGGGAAGTGCCTTCAGGCCTGTGAGTACTAGATCTGTGAAGCTTCCATACATGCCTTTCTAAAGTGAACATCTATTGAATGAACACCTGTTGCCCTAGATGACCTCCTGCAGACTTATTAGTATGATGCAAGGGCAGGGAGATACATGAGAGGGATAAAACCTTTCCTCAGCTACAGCCAGATGAAGAATTTCATATTAAGATCCCTCACACTTAATGGGGGGCCTGAAGGCAGGAGTGGCTCAGGTAACAGGAGCAGGAAACTCGTATGGAGCCCTGCTTGAGTATCTCCCGCACCAGCTCACAGCTGCAGGTCGTGCTACACCTGTCTCTATTTTAGTACTGGGACAGACAGCAGGAATGAAGGAAGTCCAGATGAGCTGCATCACTAAAGCTGCTAAATCCTCTTAAGGGAGGAACTTAGATGGGGTAGGACAGAGATTGCCTGTGGGAGGGCTTTCTCCAAGTAATGATCTTGTGCCCTGCTCTATTTCTGTTGCTTGCAAGTAAGAAGTGAGCAAATGCTGTGCACCAGAAGTGGTTCTCACCAGATGCTTCTCCCCAGGTCTTCGGAGCAGTGCCATTGCAAAGGGACCCTGAAGTACGCTGACAGACTTTCACACAGCGAGGCTCTGGCCAAATGCCTCTGCTCTGCACTTCACTCAGCCAGCCAGCAAGCACCAGAGCAGAGGTGTGAGCCCAGTGCTACGCAAAAGAGGGATTTTCTCAAGAACAAATTTTGAGCTCCAATCTCACGCACAGGATGGAAACACTAGAGCTGGTCCAAGCCATGGGAACGCTTCATCCTGAACGAGCTATATGCAGTTTATGGATGTACTGCAGCCAACATTTAGATTCCCGGGCTTTTTTTTTTTTTTTTTTTCTTAAATACTGAGTGGTCGATTTGATGTTAAAACAAACACATGCAGCAGAGATCCTGTGCTGTGGAGCAGAGACGGCACATCTGGGCAGTAGCAAGCCCTTATCCGTGTATCAACAGACTGGTTAGCAGTCACACTGCGTGGCAATTCACAGCCAACATCCATCCAGCTACTGAAATCCAGGCACCACTCAGAATCCTGCCCTTCAACATTAACTTGGAAGAAAAAAGGAAAAAAGACGGCAGAGCAGGCTGGACCGGTACCACATCCCCACGGCGGTATCGCAGCAGAGCTACGACTGCCACAGCCGCATCTCACCCAGCTCGCAGGAATCAATCAGGATGGAACGCCGCTGAGGGCGGTGGGGCTGCCCACTCCCACCGGGCACAGCCGGGCGCTCTCAGCTTCCTGAAGCTGTCTTTTCCAGCAAGGACGGCCCCACAGAGCAGCACGCCGGACCGCGGAACACCGCCGTGCTCCAGATACGGCTTTTGGGGCGCAGTAGGATCCCCCGGGCTCACCTCCACCTCGTGCCCCCTGCCCCATTTGTAGCACAGCTCCACCAGTGCTAACCGCAGCCCCGCCGTGAGGCCGACCGCAGCCCGGGGAGAGCCGGGCACAGACCCGGGGACGCCGCCTGCCCCGGCCGGCCGCGATGCGAGGCGGCCCCGCAGAGCCCGGCGCCACCGGCCCCGTACAACGGAAAGCCCCAGCGCAGCCCCCGGCGCCTCGACCCAGCCCCGCACTTCCACCCGCCGAACGCGGGGGAGCCGAGCCCCACGCGGGAGCGGGATCCCCGCGCAGCAGCCTCGACCCCTTCCTCGCGGACCGCCCCGCACCTACCTATCTACCCTCCCGCTGCACTCGGCGCTCCGCTCGCTCCCTCCGCCGCTCTACCCTGAGCTGCCGACCCGACCAGGGGCGGAGCCGGCGGTTGCATTCAGCCAGCTCTCGGGGCGGGACCCACCGCCCCCAGGCGGCCCGTCCGAGCGTCCCGCACCTGACCTGAGGGGCTGCCCATAACTGGGCTTTTTCGGGGTTCATCAGATAGCGTCCCGAGCTCTTCGACACGTAAGGCCGTTCATCTCGCTGCGGCTCTGCCAGGTGAAGCCAAAAAAAGCCAAGTTGCCCGAACAGGCCGTTCCGCTGCCCCAGCCAGCCCTGCGCGTCAGCAGCGCTGCCGCATTGTTCCCATCTAAGCCCCGCTCAGCTCCTGCTTTGCCCCAGCGATTACAGCGCTGCGGTGACAGCGAGGTGCCGGGCTGCTGACCGCTGCCATTGCATTGTTCTCACTTCTGCGCAGCGACCGCTGCCCGCGGCGGGCTCGCAGTGCTGCTTCTTTGTTCTCGGTGGGTAGAATAACGTCACACCGGGATCCTGCCGCTGTTTCCTAGGCAGAAATAAACAGCAAGAAGGCTATCTGACAAGAGTACCCCTCTGTCTCCTCATTTAAATGTGGTGAAATCACAGCAGCTGAGGCAACCCTGAAACGAGGGAAGGTTGAACGGTCTTTCTGTGAAGCTGTGACTGCACAGTGGGTGAACACGGGCCCTGCTACACTCACCTCCTTCATGGGCCTTGGGTACCGTGAGCAAGGAGGGGCCATGGGTCTCTGGAGCACAGGTACTGGATAGTGCAGAGAGAGTGAAGTGGAAGCAGAACAGGTGACTCACAATGTGTTGGGCTTCTGTAGGTGTGGCCTCGACATCCCTGGCCCCTCATAGCCCTCCACCCCAGGTACCCTGCCAACCACCTCTGCGAGGCCAACCACTAGCCTAAGATCAGGATTGCTTGGGGCAGCATCTGGAAACCAAATAGTCCTAGGGAATGTCCTCCCTACCTGTTGGTAGCATTCCAGCATCGCCTTTCAAGCAGTTACCCTGAGTAAAACCACCCTGTTCTCAAATAAAAGTTTGAGATCTTTCCCCTCCCTCCCTCAATCACTCACCCACTCTTTAATGGGCGTAGTCCTGCATTTAAGCACCTAGTCAGACTTCCACCAGTTGTCTATAAATGCTCACCTATAAAAGTGCAAGGCCATGGGACTAGGTGGAGTTTGTTCTGTCCATCCATCCATCTATGCATCCACCCACCTATCCACCGAGTACTCCTCATGTTTCTGACCCAAGCCTATGGGTTCTGAGCAAGTAGCTTGTTTCTGGTTCCTTTGAGTGTCCTACTTTAAGAAAGGAAATCTGTGCTTGGAACATTCCCCCTGAGGTTTAGTGCAAAGGCTGTTTTTCTGAAAGAAATTGGTTTTAAAATAAGAAGTGATTACAAGGTGGGTGTTAATGGATGGCTTATGCATCAGCAGCTCCCGTGCCCAAATGAATTTCTGTCACTGGCATTGAGAACAGGATATGCATTAGCAGGGCCAGCATGGAGGTATGTATGCATCAGTGACTGCATGTATAGCTGGTTATGCTTCAGTGCCACTCAGACACGAGCCAGTGAGTCTGTAGAAAAGTATTAGGTCTGTATCACTGAGTTTTCTGAGAACGGGGGGGTAGGTTTTAAAAGATAGCTTGTAGAGAGCTTGAGTTTCATTGGAAAGTCCAAAGTGAGTCACTCGCTTCTGAGGGCTTGCAACAGGGAGTTGGAAACCATGCAGAAACCGATCTGTGGAGATGCTGCAGCTGAACCGTGCACAGATGGTAAGCTAAAAGCCCAATTATAAACAGCATCTTTTACAACATACACAGTAGGCTGGGTTCTTGGCTAGCAATAAGCCAAAAGTGCCTGTAAGAGAACAGAATGGAAAAGCCCACCACATGGCATGTAGTAGTGAGGATTGAATGCCCTTTCAAAGGCAGGCAGACACCAGCCCAGAGATCACTCAGCTGATCAGTCTCCTTTGGCCTTGGGTTATCTTCATTTCAAGCCACACCTTAGCAGATGAACCCTCTCCTTGTCGTTAAGAAGAGCACTGTTTAAGAGCAAGACATATGCAGATTCACAGTGTTTGAGTATTTATTCCCTTTAAAAAAGTATTTGAATTGGCCTGACGTTACTGTTAATCTCAGAGGGGAAGAATCTGTGTGCTGACAGGGCCAGTACAGCGGGTGTGAATGAGGGAATGCAGAGCCGAGTGCTCCAGTAAATTCCAGGTTGAACAAAATGTGACCAGGCAACCTACAGTCTGCAGTCAGTGTCTGTTTAACGATACAGCATGAAGTAAAGAGATGGAATCCAAAGCACAGTAGAAGACCGACGATTTTGTTAAGTCTGACTGTGACAGAAGTGTTCTCATGGCACCCTCATGGAATCCTCTTCTTTTATTTGCCCAAAGCTGCGATTTTATCAGAAGAACTGGGATGGGGATTAGTTGTATACAAAAATAATGATGGAGTGAACAGCAATAAAAGCTCTGTGGTTGCTGGAACTTGGGGGAAGGACGGGGGGGAGACTATTTTAACTCACATTAGAGAAAAATGTTTATCAAAAGGTTTAATTTGAAAGCGGTCTGTTCTGTTTCAGGGCTAATTATTTATAAGAATCCTGTTTCAGATCTTCAGAGAAAACAAATCGGCTTCAGTGAATTGAAATAATGTTTCTGGTGCCCCGTCGCCCTCACCTGGCTGAAGGGAGAAATGCAGGCAACCGAAAGATCCCGGCAGGAAGGAAACCTGGGCGGAGCAGCTCCTCCTGTGGGTTGTTAGTTTGGGTCTCTGCGTAGGACCTTCATGCCGAATGAATTCCAAAAAATACGACAGTCTCTAAGGAGATCTTGCTGATGCTCCCGAGCTCTGTTCAGTACCTGAATATGTCTGGGCTAACGGCAGCCAGGGTGTGACCTTATGAACCTTTGTGGAGGTAGGAATTAACCTGATCTAACCTCTTTGCACACTTTACAGTAATCTTTTGCAATCAGAGGTGGTTCCAAGGAGGTGGCGTTCAGCCTCAGCCCCTTTGAAATTGTATAGATGTGGACAAATACCTGAACTGAAGTGAACATCTTGGCCTGAGAGGAATGAACATTACCCAGAAATGAGAAGAGGCTTCCTTCCTGTTGGGAATGTGCAGGGACAGATGCTAGATGCTCAGGCAGTGTTAATTCCACACCCCATGGCTCTAGAGACCAGTGAGAAGTTGTCTCTTTCAGTCCAGTTAACATAAACACTTGAGAAAGCCCAGGGAAGGAGAACTCAGTTCAGAGCTTGCCAAAGGAAATGAAAATACTCAGGAGCTGATATTGGCAGGCTGAATATTTTCTCAGTGAAATTGGTGCAACACTGCATGACTTACCTGAAGGAGCAAAGTGAGTGGATCAAGCAATCTTATGACACTAATACTTCTCATGCTAGCTCAGATCCACGAGGGTATTTAGAGGCTTAATTCCTTTCAATTTCATTTATGAAGGCATCCAAATATCCTGCTACACAGAGCCAATTTTGAATCTTGCATTGAAAGAAGCTTCTTTCCCTCTTTTACCTCTCTGGTCCTTCTCAGCAGATACATCCTTCAGTGCCCATATGGGCAGAGAGGTGCCAGAGTGCTTCCCTGGGCCACCATTAATGCTCACACAGCTGCAGCAAGCCACGTGTAGAAACCAAATCCTCGAGATCTGCACATAACTTGCAACTGTCCATGTGCTTCTCTTCCACTTGGTGTCTCTCTTTAGTCTCAAATCTGGGGCTGGATCTCCAGTATTTCTCTCTTGGGGGATGACTACTTGTTACTTGCGTTATAGAAGTACCCCAAAGTTTTAGTTTAGCAGCATAACTCCTTAGTGAGCAGCAATGCACAGAACCTCAAAACATGATACTCTCTTCCCCTCTCCTCCAGGCTGCGTAGCTTTGCTGTTCTCTCCCCATCCATTTGAAATGTTTAAGAAATTAAAATACTTACTTTGTTTGCGCTGTTTTCTCTTGAAAATAACAAATTTGTTGTCCAACTTAATCCAGTTCACATTACCCACAATTTGACTCACCCTCTTACCAGTTCTGGAGTTTGCAGGCACACAAGTGAGACACAAAGCATTACTTCACTGAATTCTAAATAGCATTTTTTAAAGGGATGAATTCAAAATAATGTCAAATAAAAATGCAGTCTTTGTTCTTGGTACAAACAAAGGAGATGGAGGAGAATTTAAGAGCACTGTACTGTACTTCTAATTCTTCTGTGTATTCCAGTGGAAAATTCCAGGGAGGAAGGGGAGGTGATTTAAACCTTCATATACCAAAATCCAAAATCTTTATGGCATATTAGACTGACGTGACAGGGAAATCCAGAAGCTTGGCTTTCTTTTCAATTTGTACCAAGTGCAAACCAGTTTTTAATGATATAAGCTGCCCTGAAACTCTTTGCTTTGAAATACTTTAGTTATTTGCTGCCGCACATGGAAAACACTGCAGCTTGCAGCATATATGCCTTAATGTGCCTGATCCACTCCCACTTCTGGACCTTTTCAGTTTTGCCAGTTCCTCTGAGATTAAATCTCTGGGAGAAAGTGGTCCAGATCTAATATGTTTGGCAGTCCCCTCAAATAAAAGCTCCTTTCTCCAAACCCTCTTGGTGTCTTGCTTAATTCTGATCTGGAGACCTAGAGACTAGACTCTCAGCTAGTATAAACGAGTGAAGTATACCACATAACAGCAGCTGAGGATCTGGAAAATTATATCGACCAATAACTTCTTACTTCATGTGGGTTCTACCCAAATAATTCACTAGCCCTCCTGTGGGAGAACAAAGCTCTGTATATTTCCTTTTACGAGCTGTTTTGCACATAAATGCTCTCTGCAGTCCCAGTACATCTCCACCGAAACCAGTGAGAGCAAGTTAGCAAAATGTGCTTGTAGCTTATTTTTAATCCCTTTCAAAATCACAGAGGAATGTTCATCAGATTGCAGATCCCCAACGCAAAATAACTGTGGCATGTGCCAGCATTTGCTAAAAGCAGATGCTGAGATATCATTTCATCCTCTCAC